TTCTTGTTGTTCACATTTCCAACATAAATTTGAAGTGCCATTATACATTTTATACAATTTCTCTGTTGACACCAGAGCGTTCCATGAACTTGCAACATATATTTTTAAAGATACTGAAAACAAGAGTTTTATTGTAAAATTGCCTTCCTTGCTTTAACAATCACTCTGTGTAAATAAGCATGTACTAGAAATATACTCTTTAAAATTGCAGAATGAAACTCATTGGAGGGAGCATGTTATATAGCATTCTCTTTTAGATGAACCTTCCCTCTCCTTAACACTTGCTGTAGATTTGATTCTTTTAGATATCCATTGAACAGTCAGAGATTTCATTTCCCCTGTTCTCTTCCTTCCTACTGAACTCATTATAGACCTGGTTCAGCACTCAGTCAAATCAACAAACTCTTCTTCCAAGAGCTGGGAGATCAAGCCCTACCTGTCTAGATATACAAGCTATGTTACTGTCAACTCCGTCAATCTGGTTGCTTAAATTAGCTTCTCTTTCATTTACCCTGAGTTTTCCATCAAAACAGTTCCATTCCCCTGAGATATATAGAAAAAATAATTTTATTCTTTTTAAGTACACTAGATGCATGACTTACGTAAAAATAACGTGAACCATGTGCTCCTTGCAATAGTAAAGAAACAATATGTAGGCAAAAACATGATACTGTATAATGTTTCATGGGATCTTGGACGTATGGGCTGTTTTTTCATACGCAGCTGCTAGGAGGAGATCCAAATTTTCTTATGGGTCGGTGAAACATTCAAATTGTGGTATAAAGTTAGCATGTTTAAATAAATTATAGTTAAGATTAACTATAGTTTACAGTGGTTCAGTGGTTGGAAGAAATTCACTAAGTCTGGAAATTTGTTATGCTTCACATTTTCCTGCATTCTAACTTCCATTCACTTTAGCAAGAATAACCAGCTATCAGAGCTCAAGAACATCTGGAAGGGGACAGGTTCTATTCCATTTTGCTAATCTATAGTTAACTGAAATTGGAAGCAATGGAAGAGAAACGTAAACTTGAGATTCATTCATGCCAAATGTAGGTTTGTGTTTTTAAGTCATATCATTTCAGTTCAACTTTGTTGCAGTCTGATTTTAATAGATGTGTTAAGAATAGTACAGCTGTAGAAAATAGGGAAGGGTAGGCCTAGTAGTAATGGTTAGGGGCTATAGTTGGTGAAGTGATGACATCAGAAAGGAGGATTGGTGCCCCCTCCCTTCTAAACAAGTGGACAGTCTCCTAACACAGTGGGAACCAGCCACTGTTGGTTATATGTAAGCCATGGTTTAGGGCTTAAGATACTGTGTGAACCTGGCTTATGCCACACATTATGATTTAACAAACCATGGCGTAGTATGATATAGGAACTCCATCATTGCTGTTTCAGTGGATTTTTAGTTCGAACACCATTGATAGATCTTTTGCAGAAACATCGTACTAGCTTGGAAGCTTGAACAGGATTTAAGCAATGGTATGAAATCTCTGTACATTAATAAGCTGCTTCTCGCTCTCACAGTACAGAGAAAGATAAACACAGAGAAAGCAGCACAAGTTCATGCCACTAATAATCACAGTTTTAGAATCAGCTTCGCTGCCTTCTTTGTTA